GCCTCTAGAGACCATTTATGATGACCACGGATTCATTTGAGAGAAAGGCTTCGTTTAGCTATTTATCATGTCATATCAAGGACATGAATGGTGACCACTTTTAGCCTATGTAACAACCTCTAGAGACCATTTATGATGACCACGGATTCATGTTCCCCGTGGTATTATTGGTATATCCACCAAAAATGATTGATGTAAGACATATAATATTTATTTTATTGACGTTCGAACACACCAAGAAACTTTATAAAAATTCCGTATCAAATATTTGTTTCTTTGTGTAAAGTTAAGCACAAAGCTACACAATGGGCTATCTGTGCTTTTCCCACCACGGGTATCGAAACCCGGTTTCTAGAGTTGTAAGTCCGCAGACATACCGCTGCGCCACCTGGTGGGCCCGTATCAAGTTAATATTACGCGAGTGATACAATAACCAGAATTTTAAATTGATATTTCATTGCACCTCTACAATACATTCTACAACAATTAACTACAATAACGATAAATCATTGTATCTTTTACTACTACGAATATAAGAAAAGACAATAGGTACATCCTAAATATCACTTCGGTGCTAAAATATGATAAACAATAGAATTTTTGATGTCATGCCCGAACCATGTGGGAAAAAGACATTCCGACAATATCTATGCATACTCTGAAACAAATGTCATAAAGCAGTCATATACATACATTTGTAAGCGTTGTGTGCAAACTCCACAATTTCTATTTATTGTGATGCAAATGAACCATTCAAGATGCCATACTCGTTAATCGACTGTACACAAACCCGAACAACTGTGTTGTCAATAGCTAAATCACACGTTTGTAAATTTTATAAGGTAATTACTATAAGTAGTTCGCATTATCAAATAACATCATTGTGGTATGATAATAAAAAAAATTCAATATAAGTTATATATGTATGCATTTTAATTCTAACACTAACGGCGGTGACAAGAGATGGGGTTTCTAATTATTATTCTTTTTTAGGTTCGAAAGGTTTCTTTGTTGTTAATCGCAAAGCTAAACAATGGGCTATCTCTGCTATGCCCAGCATGGGTATTAAAACCCGTTTTTAGTGTTATAAGCTGTCAGACTTACCGCTGATCCACTAAGGGTCTGGTTCGAAAGGATTATATGTTTCTAAATGTTTGAAGTTAAGCACAAAGCTACACAATGGGCTATCTGTGCTCTGCCCACCACAGGTATCGAAACTCGGTTTCCAGCGTTGTAAGTCTGCAGACATACCGCTGTGCCACTGGGGGCATGTTTCTAAATATATGTTACTTTAAAAATATTGAGTACTAATTGGCTAAAATTAGGCTATTTTCGTGTACAACTGCCGTCGTAATGTCTAATATAATACATCTATCTTTATATCTACATTGTTATTCATAAGAACTTTACTTTTTTTTATATACTGTTTACGTACTTTCTTTCTCTGCTTAATCTGATAAAAACTTTACTTTTTTTACTTCTTCGTAAGACCTTTTTCAAATAAACTTGCATTTATTACTTAAAATACAATTTTCTAAAGAAACACATATCGTTCTATTGTTTGTATATGGATTCACCTTGACAAAAATTGGTTAGTTTTTTTTTGTTTTTTATTTCGCGCAAAGTTACACGAGAGCTATCTGTGCTAGCCGTCCCTACTTTGGTAGTGTAAGACTAGAGGGAAGGCAGCTTGTCATCACCACCCACCGCTACTCTTTGGCTACTCTTTTACCAACGAATAGTGGGATTGACCGTCACATTATAACGCCCCCACGGCTAAAAGAGGGGAGCATGTTTGATGGGACGGGGATTCGAACTCGCGACCCTCAGATTGCGAGTCGAGCGCCCTAACCATCTGGCCATGCCGGGCTCTGTTTGGTTAGATCAACAATTAATCATCATTCGACTCACTCATGTTATTATGCAATCAAGAACAGTCAATTCTTCAGCAAAGCTTATAGGAATAATGTTTAATAAGTTCAAAATCCATTATATATATAGTAGTTTCTATGGAACATTAAACGATCAACTATAAAAGCCGCGATTGTGTTTTCATTCCCTTTCCGCAAGTGCAACAAGATTAATCAATGCTGCCCTATTGTTACTCGAGAGGAATTCTTTATCTTACCAAGGATCCGGGTTCTATAATAGAAGTCTGGATGAACCATGGTAAGGCTAGTCCCACCAGAATATCAAAGACGTTACTACCAATACTATTGGAAACGGCCATATCTCCTTGTCCTGAAAACAAAGATGTATCTTGTAAAACTCTAAGACAACACTTCTCAAAACTACTATTAAGCTGCTGTTTATATACTTTTTGTGTCTGCTTATATAATATTCATTTAATTTCTTCCATTTTTAAAATTCTCAGTAAGAATTTTCGACATCCCAGCGCCGAAACTAGCGGGGGCCGGCCCATCATTGAAATGTCGTTGAAACCTCCAAGCCAATACCACCCATTAATCTGATTTTAAACTTATTTAATATTTGGACCTATTATATGTCTCATTTCCCCTCCCCCTCCTCCAGTTAAGAAAACATGAAGCCGGGAATGCATTATCCCAAACCGTATAAAATGTATGAATTGTGGCGGTTGTTACCACTTTTCGATGAAAGTTAAAACTTACAAATAAACATCTATCCCTTCGACATTCTGTCCATTCCAGGTGTTACTCTCTATTTTTTTGTTTATCTTCAGTTCAAATATTAACAACGGTAATGAAATACGTTTAATTTTTAAACAGTATATACATGGAATGAAGCGCTTTCAACAACAAAGTTACAGTCAAGGTCGTGGCTCACAAGAGAACTTTAAATCGTGGTTTACAAGCAAACATGATTATAAGAGATTACTGGCCTATTTACTAAAAACTGAACACTTAAGTATGATTATATAAGAGATTACTGGCCTATTTACTAAAAACTGAACATTTAAGTATGATTATATAAGAGATTACTGGCCTATTTACTAAAAACTGAACATTTAAGTATGATTATATAAGAGATTACTGGCCTATTTACTAAAAACTGAACACTTAAGTACTAAGTTTATAGTAAAAGAACAAAATGTTTTTCCCCTTTTTGGATTTAAATATTGAAAAAATTGATCCATTCTGTTGTTTTTATTTTTGTTTGTCACAAAATCAGTTCTTTTTTTTTGGCTTTTTTCACTTTAGTAGTTTTATACTTTTATATTTTAAGAACAATAAATTTGTACAAAGATACCCACTTTCTTTTGTACTGTTTAGTCAGTGACTTCCATGGATTTCTTAAAAACTTTCAATAACAAGCAAGTTCTTGAAAGAAACAGTTTCCAATTTTTCTCATCAGCAGCGTTTTGAAGAACTAGTTAAACAGACTTGACACCAGTTCAATGTTACAGATTCACGTGCCCGGAACTTCCCGTGTTTCTTACTTCATCTTGTTTGAGGGGGTTCATAATTTCCAATTAAAATGAAAAGCTGATATTACTCCACAAGAGCCATTCGAACTTGTGTTGACACTCCACTTTTGTTTGAAAAGTTCCGTTAGTGACAAAGATTCCTATACTTCAACGCTCATGTGTTGTTTATCATTTCCTTTATCTTCGCTTCACACGAGATTGCATGAGATCGATCTACGTTTCAACATGTATTAAAAAACATGCCAAGTCGAAGAGTTCTGACTTTAGAATTTTATGCCGTACAACAGATTATAGAAACTCTCCTAATTTAACGACTAAAACCAGATTTGAATGTTAATCAGACAGCTTCACAACTGTATATAATATCTGCTGTCCATATATATGTTCTAAATCATGAAATACGTCCATACGTATATTCACTCCAATGTGTAGCATAATGTGTTCTGACTGAGATCTTAAATATATATTTCTACCATAGGTATTGTAATAAATCCTATTATTCCAGAAGCAGATACGTACGACAGAGTAATTTTCTTCAACCATGATACAAATATCAATATTTATCTCTTCTACTTCCGTATCAATACATAGAAAACGTATAGAAAGCTTCAAAGAATAGCTTCACAGAGGTAATACGGATAAAATATCTAGTTTATTCAGGCGTGAAATTCTACCGATAATCCCTAGAATTCCTTAATGATTCTTCTTGGAACTCCAACTTTGTTTTTGTTTTGTTTTTAAGCCAGTACAGAGTTGTTGGTTTTTATTATTTCTTGGCATTTCAATTTGAATAGCGCACGAAGAGGTAGTGTTAACTCGAAAAAAAAACTTATATTCCATACACTGTAAGTCCAGGTCCTGACAAAGGTGAGCGAATACCTGTACTTCTTTCAGAAGAAATGTAATATTGGTTTTAAAATTAAATTAGTGAATGTTAAACAGGTAAATAACTTGTCTGAGAATCTTGTTATTGAATAATGAAAGAATGAACTTGCTTTAAAAGGTAACAATTCTTTATTACATATTCACAGACGCGGCTATTTTTCACCCTGTGCGAATTTACATTAAAAATACGTAATTCATTAATATGAACTCCCGAGTCAAAATAAAGAAGAGTGTATAATATATAACATGTCAACCACACTTTATCTTCTATGTCCAGTGTCAACGAGGCTTCTCTCCCAAAACCAGGGCTCTTGAGACAGACGCGGTAGTTGAGTTGCTATTTATATTAGTAAACCGCTTGGTAGCAGCCGAGAAGAAACGATTCCAAACTAAAACACTCAAGTAGAGTCACAGTACATTCAAATAACGAAATCCGATGAGACAAAATATAATATTTCTGAGACTTATAGCTTGTAATACGATAATTTGCAAAAGTTAATAACACTTCTACCCTAATTACACACCTTGTTTAACGACGATCAAACTCGCGAATGCATCAGGAACGCTGGTTCCGGCGGCCAAGAAAGTGATTCCCATGATAGTGTCTGGAATCCCCATCGTAAATCCTATCAATGTCACCTGCACCGGAAATTAAGAACTGGTAATTTTCAAAGATTTAAAAACACGGGTACAAATATGCTGATAGGAGACTGATAAAAAAAATAATAATTTCTGTGCTCTTAAATCAAAGAGAGTATTCTGTAAATAATAGTTTCAGTACAGCAAAAGTCGTAATCCTCCAGTTAGTGCACAAATAAAGTTTGATAGATCACAGAAAACACACTTATACAATGGCCGGCATAGCCAGGTGGTTAGGGCGATCGATTCGCAATATGAGGGTCGCGGGTTCGAATCCCCGTCACACCCTAGGGTCGTTATAATGTGACGATCAATCCCACTATTCGTTAGTAAAAGAGTAGCCCAAGAGTTGTTAGAGCTGCCTTCCCTCTAGTCTTACACTTCTAAATTAGGGACGGCTAGCGCAGATAGCCCTCGTGTAGCTTTGCGCGAAAATTCAAAACAATCAAAACGATAACAAGAAAACTATGAGAAACGAAAATGTGATTTTCTTTTCACGTACAGACGTAAAAACAAAAATGTAACAATGCATCATCCATGAAATGAGCACAGTTCGAAAATAGCATGGTACCAGGTATTTTCTAATGATTTTAAATAATCAATATGAGCTTCTATAAATAAGTAATATATTCTAGGTAATGTTAAGAGATACGTGAATTTCTTTAGAAACCAAGGAAGTTGGAAGTTTAGATTTTCGAAACGAGAAATACCAACTGTAACAGTGTTTATTGTGATTGATAAGATGTTCATCTAAGTGTGTAGGACGAATAGTTTATTTATAAAGTATTTGTTTGTTCTTTTGTTGAATTTCGCGAGAGCTATCTGCGCCAGCCATCTCTAATTTTGAAATGATAGACTAGAGGGAAGGCATCTAGTCAACACCATCCACCACCAACTCTTGGGCTACGCTTAACCAACGAATAGTGGGGTTGATCGTAAAATTATAACGCCCCCATGGTTGAAATTGTGAGCATGTTCGCGGACGGGATTCGAACTCGTAACCCGCAAATTGCGAGTCCAGAACCCTAATCACTGGGCCATGCTAGGCCTGTAGCAAATTCGTGCACTGAATTAAACTTACCATCCACACCATGATGTACGAGAACACAGCAGTCCATGTTATGGACATAAAGAAGGCTACCAAAAACCAGTTCCTCCATTCGTTCTTCTTGCAGTCAGGTATAGTATAATGCAGAGCTGCCAAAACCGGAATTCTGACAACCCACTTACAAATATTCAAAATTCCGTCCTCTGTGAGAAAATCATCACTCAATGAAACGTATTTTGAAAAAAAAAGTATTAAACAACAAGCACATCATTTTAGTTTTAGCCCAGTTTTTTGTGAAGTTTTACTCTAATTCATCAAGGAGTTAAAATAATGTGATCATTATACACACACACACCTTATCTTTGTTACTGAAGTTCCTAGCACATTATTACAGGGTTAAAATGATGTGATCATTAAACACACACACACACCTTATCTTTGTTACTGAAGTTCCTAGCACATTATTACAAGGTTAAAATGATGTGATCATTAAACACACACACACACACCTTATCTTTGTTACTGAAGTTCCTAGCACATTATTACAGGATTAAAATGATGTGATCATTAAACACACACACATACACCTTATCTTTGTTACTGAAGTTCCTAGCACATTATTACGACTATTTATATATTTATGTAAAAAACGAATAGTCACTTTTCAAATGGATATTTACCTAATTTTGGTAACCTCCTCCATGGTGCATCAGCTGTCCAACTGATGCTCACGCTTTAGAGAAAGACAAGACAGGTACATTAAGAATTGCTAGCAACACTGAGAAGGGTGTGAAAAGGCTCCACACAACGTCAACATAATTTAGATATATTCCGTTGAGCTATAGGTTTTTAATACAAATCACTACGCGTTGTTTTGATTATAGGTTTATAAATGTAACGCATTAACTTTTTACTTAAAAACATGCCATTATTTTTACCTATGAATGTTATTTATATGCACTAGTTTAAAACATCCTTAATGCTGACTTGGTATTTTGTTTATAAATTCACAATCACAGGGCGGTACCTTAACACGTTTTTTTATGTGCTGCTTCAAAACGTTTCGTTTTTATCATTTTTTCATCGTGTTTATCGAGCATAGATTTGAGTGAAACACAATACACTAACTAACAACTGAACGATTTCATTTCGTAACGATGTGTTCTGTTTCGCCATGGTAAATATCGTGCTTAGATTTGAGTGAAACACAACACATCAACTAACAACTGAACGATTTCATTTCGTCCCGGTGTTTTCTGTCTCGTCATGGTTAGAATCGTGCTTAGATTCGAGCGAAACACAACGCTCTAACCAACAACTCAAAGAAATTATTTCGTCCCGATGAGTTTTGTTTCGTCATGGTTAGAATCGTGCTTAGATTCGAGCGAAACACAACCCTCTAACCAACAACTCAAGGAATTCATTTCGTCCCGATGTGTTTTGTTTCGTCATGGTTAGAACCGTGCTTAGATTCGAGCGAAACACAACGCTCTAACCAACAACTCAAGGAATTTATTTCGTCCCGATATGTTTTAGTAATGTAAATCTCACCCTTTATTAACATAAAACATCGTAAGCCATCTCAAGAAATCTAAAGTTAACAGGATCACTTTTTTTTCATCATAAAACATACCTCACGCTTCTTCTGCGACGTAAAAATTCTGTTGGATCAACAGAAGATTGAGATTGCAGTTTAATGAGACGCCCTCTTTGTCTTCTTATCTGTAAATTCAATAATAATGTTTTTAATAGAAACGTTGTAAAGAATTAACACTAATTGATAAATTTTAACTAAGAAGTTGGTTAATTAGTATTAACTTCCCGATCAGAGCAAGCTACCTACTTAGGACAAAATTAGAAATCAATCTGGTAATGAGTATGGCAAACTCAATATCATTTCCTAACGTTCTCGTTCACAAAGATCGGAATGCTTTGTTTCTTCGCTTAGCTACCTCTCTTTTAACAGTATTTTTGGCCGTAAACCCAAGAGGTTCGATTAGTTTAGGACATTTAGGTTAGTCCTAAAACCATATACTAAGTTAACAATACAAAGCCATCTCTAAAATAAAAATATAGTGGTGATGAAGTAATAATAATAATAAAACGATGAATATAAAACATTCTAACCAATAATGTTAATGAAAGTAATCTTAAAAATATATTAGAGCATATCTCACTTACGGAACAAATAGTAGTTGTTAGCTTCAAGTACTGTTGTGATTTTATCATTAGTTGAACAACGTGACATCATTATAACCGTGTATAAGCAAAGCTTTCCACAATCCACCCTAAAAAACATCTTGTGACCAATGAAAACCCATTAAATGGCGGTGGACTTAGCAGCAGATAGGCCAATGTGGCCTTACTCTAAAAAACAAATTAGAGTACCCATATTCTAGCTAATTTTTGTACGATTCAGGTATTCATTTAATGTCTTGTTTATTATTTTTCGCTGTACTATTGGTACTATCAATTGGTAGTTTCGTAAGAATTTATCTCAGATATCAGGCTGCTCTAAAGTTACATTGTCCAAGTGGGGAATCGAACCTCAGATTTGAGCGTTTTAAGTCGGTAAACCTACTGATGTCCCACCGCGAGCAGCGGTGCTCTAATTAACATATAACAATGTTAAATGTAATAGAAATTAATATACATATATATATAGAACATAATATGAGGTGTGTCTAATTCAACTGATCAGATTTTAATAAGCCTCTGTCACTTAATAAAAACACGCGGAATGATCAACAGGAAGTAATAAACAAAGTTAAACCTTCTGTAAAAGTCGAAAAGTAAATATGGAAAATAAAGTAAGGTAAGACAACTCCAGATCATTAACTCATTGGAGAGCTTTTCACATATATTACCGATCGTAACTACGCTAATGTGTGATGTTTGATAGGTTAAGGCGCGTATAATTTGGATGTTTTATATTATATTTAGCACATTTTTTCACACATTGATTTACACCATAACCCTCATAATTAAATAATAAATTACTTCATAATGTATTTGTTCTACCATTGTCAACCATTCATGAATTATTCTGGAAAAATAGCTGAATTTTTCCAAAAGCCTTAGCTATTCTAATAATATAGTCTTAGATAACTCACCATCACCCACCTAGTAATATCTATATTATAATAAGTAATTTACATTAAGCTCCATAGTTCAGAGGGGACAGTGATAGTAAGTATATTAGAGAAGAGGGAAAAACCTAGAAATCAAATGTCAGGATTTTCAAAGTAGGAGGGACTAGGGATTTCGCCTGGCATGGACACGCAAGCTGCTGGTCGCGAGTTCAAATCCCCGTCCCACCAAACATGCTCGCCCTTTCAACCGAGGGGGGCGTTATACTTTGATGGTCAATCTCACTATTCGTTGGTAAATAGTAGCCCAAGAGTTGGCGGTGGGTGGTGATGACTAATTGCCTTCAATCTAATCTTACACTGCTAAATGAGGGACGGCTAGTGCAGATAGTCCTCTGTAGCTTTGCGCAAAATTCAAAACAAACACTTACTAACTTTTTCTGACTGACGCTCGCTTGGTCACCTATATATATACTTTGCAAAACTGAGGCCTGGAACTTTCTAAAAACTAGGAGACGCTATGATATAATAATACTCACATAGGAGAAAAACTTAGAGGTTTCGAGAAAGGTGACGTCAACAAAACTGCAACAATTGAACTACACGGACAACGTACCACTCTTATCGAGTTACGTAAAGAAATTTGTCATAACTGTTACTTTTTAACACCCTTGTTATGAAAACCAAATAATCATTAAATATCAAATCACTGAATAAACTAAATCATAAATCGTACACTAAACAATCTTGTATATCCAACAAAGTGTGTGAAGTGAATAATGTTATGGCATTGCGCCTAATTCCTGTGAAATTTGAACGGATGACAATATTTCAACACAGAGACAGTTGAAAACAGTATCACCAGTGTTATGCATACATATTTAAAAAAGCCTTAAATTAATTCCCTTTCCTGCTCGATCAGAACGCCACTAGATCAACTTTCAAAATGAATAAGAAATTGATAATACTCTCTACTGAACACAACATAACATTATATTCATTCGATAGATAGATTAAATCTTTCATTTTATATTGGTTATAGATGATGTAGTAAAAAACGTAAGAAAGAATTATTGGCAATTTGTGAAAGAGAAGGTGTGGCAGGTGGGTGTGGCAAGTGGGTCTAATATTCTAGTTTATGACTCTGCAAACAAGTAAGATTGAAGGCTTCAAAAATTATACCTTGTGATAGTGAGTTATCTAAGACTATATTATTAGAATAGCTAAGGCCTTTTGAAAAATTCAGCTATTTTTCCATAGTATCAACAGTATCACCAGTGTTATGCATACATATTTAAAAAAGGGTATGCCATAGTTAGAAAGCCAGTTAAATTATAATAGTTGTAAGACATCGTTTGCTTTCTGTGTGTGTTATTATTCTGTATTTTTGTGTGCATTATATAAGTAAATAAGAATTATTTAGTGTACTAGTACCATTAGTATAGAAAAAGTAGGCTTAAATTGCCTCGGGAACCGGCAGCAAAAATAAAAAGAGGTCAAAGGTAAGTACTATATTTCTTGTTTTTCATGTATATTCTTTTTAAAAAGGCATATTATTACTCATGTTTTAAAATATCGTGATATCGAAAAAAATTAAGTAGCTATATTTCTCAGATAGTTAATACTTAGAGTGTTATAAGTTTACCTCGAGAATTATCCGCTGTGCAGCACTCCGGAAACGGGTATACGGGCGAAAATGACGTGTCATTAGCATCATTAAGGCAGCTTCGTATAGTGTGACTCTATCAAAATATACCAATATTTTAAACATATCTTTCAATGAATAAGCAAAACCTTAAAACTAAAACTGTAGTATTTTTTTTTTCATTGAGGAAACTAAAATGTTTCTTAGTAGGTTCAATAATTTACTCGCATATTTGAATTTCAGAAAAATTGTTTTATTTTAAATTTAAATATACCGCTATTAACAGCAATTTCTGAAGACTCCCCTCAGTACCACAGTAAAAACTGACAATTCTACTTGGAAAGACAGTGAAAACTTTAAAGGTTAATATATATATATATATAAGTTTAATTTTTTTCCTTTAATCTTTTTTACTTGCCCTACCTTCTTTGACTATCACGTATAGCCTCGTCTGCAGGTATTACAGGTTGTGACGTCACTGCTGTCTGAGCAAAGTCGTCAATCTCGTCATTGAAGGGAACTTTTGAGTTGAAAATATTTATAGTTAACACATATATATATTAAACAACGGTGTTGATATTTTAGTTACAATTGGAACAAACATGGGCATCGTTTATTATATTTCAAATTTCTTAGACTGGAAATTAATTATTTAGGTTTTTATATGGCCGATTTTGAAACATTCGACACAATAGTCAAGCCAAAATAATTGTGTAAAAAAGTGATAAAGGCACATTTAGACTTTAGGACATATCAAACATTTTCAGATATGGGACCGACGAAAGTAGCACTATTTTAGATAATTCTATACATTCCGCAAAATGTATTGAACTTTTTCTACAAAACAACACGTAAATTTTGTAGTATTGCTTTTATTCCAAAATGGTCAATATCGGGGGGGGGGGCGAATAAAGACCTAGGGGTCGATAGTGGGTCGAAAATGGCCCCTAGCGAGCGAATGAAGTTCGTTCCTTTTCTCGAATCTTCCACAGTGTATAAATTCACACAATCATGAAAAATACATATTTTAAAAATAAATTTTAATTTAATTACTTGTTTTATTTTATGCTTCTTAAAAATATTAAGTTGGGGGTCGATGACAACTTTATAAGTTCGTCAAGGGGTCGACAACTCAAAAAGGTTTGGGAAACCATGACTTAAATGATCAACGAGACACGTGAAGAGTTCTTTACCATATAATGTTACAAGTAACTGTCAAAAATAGGTATATATGGTTTAGAAAATAAATGTATATACTGTTATACTGCTTTAATCATGCACATAAAAAAAATCAATAGAAGTTTATTCCTTAGTTAGTACAGAACTTCTGCATTAATTTTAATAAAATTCTATGTTTATCCTTCCGATTGAACAAAACGTTAAGGGCATTGAAGAGAATCTGGCATCACAGTATAAATCTATAGATAAGTCTACTTATCTAAATTAGTGTTTACATAAGAAGAAATAGTTAGTCTCAATTTACATGGCAAAACTGTTATACTGATGCAGTTACTTTTTATTGAAAATAAAGGCTTCAAAGTGAAATGTATGAACTATGTATAAATACGGCATGAATGTTGGAGTATCATGAATCAAACACGACTGGTGTAATATCCTGAACATGTGCATGAGGCTATGCACTGTATGGTAGCTGTGTTTTTGTACTGAATAACTCTTGAAAAAGATACAATGAATGAGCTTTGGATAAGCCCTGGCTGAATCAGACACTGTTGCCCTGGCTGAATCAGTCACTGTTGCTTTGGCTGAATCAGACAGTGTTTCCAACCATCTTTATCTTTGTACAGGTTCAGTCATTTGAACTTGGCATATTTGGTTGAGGTAGCAGACCCTGACCCCAACAGTAACCTCCTTGATATGCACATGCTGCATAAAAGCTGCTTTTGTGTTGAGGAACCCAAGCTAGCATCATTGGCACCAGATCGATCAATTATCCTGTCATATAGAAGAACTACAAATCGCTGCAACAAAGCAACAGTGTCATCGCTTATTTCTTCTCGTGCATTCAGAGTTCATTGAAAGTTGTGGTCACCTCTGGGAAGCAGATCCACGCTTCCCATACTATTTTCTTGTCCCGTCCCTTGAAAAAAAAAGCTTTATCACAGCCTATAATTGAATGAATTACAGTAAGCAATGGGCTTTTGGTGGGCCAAGAGTGTCAGCGGTATCACGAATTGCTAAAATCCGTTAAGAAACGGTCATTGTAGTTTGTTCTGTCGTAGCTATGAAAGTCAAGATTTATTTCTGTATTTTATATTATTTGACAAGTTTATCTTCATAACAATGCAACTTTATTATGCACTGAGTAATATAAATTATTTGATAGAAGAAACTAAACTTCTCAGGAAAAACAAACTGAGATTCAACAGTGTCGATCTCTTCTATGTTAGTTTACCATCTATGTGGCGACATACATTATGTTTAAGGATCTTTAAAAGCATAAGATATGCTTAAGGAACTGCTAACTTAACTAGTAACCAGTCTATTTACCGTAAGAACTGTAGCATTTCTTGTCGTTGCCATGAGACAGAATGCTTAAAGCAGTTGAGTCTTCTTCAATTAACCCTAGCCTATTGGACACCCACCCATAGATACCTCTGTTGAACCTGTCGTCAAAAGAAAATTAGAAAGAAAAAACTATAATATTTTGCATTATTTTAACATTATAAAAAATATTAACAAAGTAATTTACACGGTGAAAGGTCCAGAACAATTAATACCGAAAAACCCAAAACTAGCATATTATAGAAGAATTACTTACAAATAAAGAAATAATTAATATACGTCAAAGGCACATCATTTTATAAAGTAGGCCAAGGAACAGCTGAACTGTCCTGTTTCAATCAGGCCTTAAACATATAATACGTATATAGATGAGACAATGAGGGACTTTAGAAAAATTACGTTATAATAACGTTATTCGTTAGGCGGCAGCACCAGTGATCTCAGTTTTTCACACTGCTGGAAAGAAATTTTCCTATAATAGCTTCAGCTTGTGACGTGTGCAATTCGAGACTATCTGCAGCATAATTACTTTTAATTAAAGTGCCCGTGCAGGAGAATGTAACTATTTTAACGCAATGGTCAAATGTTAAATATGTTTCAGCAAGGTATTGAAATTAGTCCAACCAATGAAAATTCCTTATTTTATCTGTATAAATAAACGTAAATATGTGTGTGTGTTTGTGTGTATCTGCTCCTTATACGTCTCCACATTTCTTGATCAATCAGCATCAATGATATA